TCTTAGTTCAAATCTTAGATCTCATTACTGTTTTTCTTAGTTCATATCTTAGATCTTATTACTGTTTTTCTTTTACATGTTAATACATTTGTTGGATGTAACTGGGACCATGTGTACACAACTTCATTCCACCACATGTACCACATGTGGCGTGTATGACAAATAAAGAACCTTGAATCCTTGAATCCTTGTACATGTGAAGCATTTTTACTTTCAGTTTGAGCTTGCTGCCAAAAACAATAACTTGAATCTCACAATAATGCACTTACAACACACAGAGTAGGCGACAAACAAATGGACAGCAGGGGTTTGTGTTGCGTATGAGGCACACCAGGTTACCGAGGCTCAGTAAGTGTTTTTGTGCCTCACACACCTGGTCACACAGAATAACACTTTGCTGTCCTCTGAGAACACACACAGCAGATCTTCTTTCACTCTACGGTAGCCTCAACAAGACACATTACATCCCCGCTCCGCCATCTGCTCATGACAGATGTATTTATGTAATAGTTTTGATAGGTATTGATCCGCACGGCGGAGCCAGTTAAGAAACGGAGAAAAATGAGATTTCAAAATCAACATGGCTGCGAAGGGAATTTTGTGAAGATGATGAGTGACAGAGAGCGAAAGAGAGAAAAAGAAACGACTATGAGAAAATGAAGTTGTGTGAGTAGCAGTGACAGGGCCGAGGTTTTGGTTGAAAACACACAATTTAACAAAAACAAAAAAAGTAGATATGGGACAGTGTGAAAACAAGCAGGAATATGTGTGTGTTTAAAATGACATGAGCATGTGTGTGTGTGCATGTGTGACCTTGGCTTGGCCCGGTGGTAAAGTGGGGCGTCAGGAGAGCCCTGTGTGAGCAGTCAAGCGTTCTCCCTCAGATTAGCGGTCTTTATTACTGCCACCAACCACTGATCTGACAAATCCTCTTATTTCATTTTACTTTCTCCAACCTCTGCCTCTCGTTTTTTTTTTTTTTTTTCCTCCTCACTCCTTTATTTTTCTAAAATCGCCCTCCCCCTCCTTTCTTCCGGCTCGGTGGCAGCTGTACGTGCTCCACCTTGTGCTCTGCTGGCTTCAGTTTTTCCTGTTCTCTATTTGTTCACTCTTTCTCGTCCTCATTGTCTTTTCATCTTCTGCACGGCTTTGCTGATACCTACGCAGCTCTTTTCTCTGTTCTTCCTCTCACCCTTCTGCTGCGCTCCTCCCTCCATACCTCCGCCTCGGCCTGCCTCTCTATACCGTGATGAATCTGTAGACAGGGGCTAATAATTGTACTTCAGCCCAAGTGCTCATTTTTCTTTGTGTTTGAAAGCTGTGACAGGCAGGGGCTCCTTTTCCCCTCCTGCGCCCCCCCCCAGTCCTTCTCTTCTTCCCTTTCTCTACCTTTTCTTTCTATCCTCACACAATGGGGTGAGTAAAATAACTCAGGGTTTACAAGGTCATGCTGTCTTGTAGTGAGGACACACTGGGGATTTGGGGCTAGAAGCATTTCCTCAAAGCTGCTGTGTTGAGTCTTCAATAAAAAAACAAGTTATGGATTGTCAAAGCAGATCTATGGGGAGAAGTAGTAATATTTGATAGAGAATTAGTGTATTTTAGACATATGGATTCAAACGTTGCTTCTCAGGGTTTTTATGAAAGAAGTGAAGAATAATAAGGTTTTTATGTCGCATGTTCCAACACAAAGTTAGTTTTTGTTAGAACATTGTGCCAAACAGTGCAACAGTAGTCAATGTTACTGGTTTGTCATATGTCAGGAGAAAAATTATGGTAATCTGGCATTACAGTGTAAAAATCTCGAGTTATACCTTGTTTCTTTATATTTTTTCATGCAAGCAGTCAGACTTCCTTCTCTTAAAACGGTTTTGATTATTATTTTTCTAAACTTTCTAAAGAATTTACAAAGTTTCCTTTTGGACTTTGACTGCTTGTGACAATCTCAGTCCAGCACATTTCTGAATAATATTTTTGCTTGTTGAATAATTTCCCGCTGATTTATAAATCATTCAGATATAAAAAGGTCAATTCAACTCTTAAAGTGTTGTCTCGACACATAACAGACAACTTAGAAAAAAAAAGAAATAGGATCTTTAGTCACTTTGTTAACAGCAGCCTTCACAAAGATGCAAACTGTCCCCATTTCTTTAGCTGAACCATTGAAAAATACCAAAGATAACACAGTTTGATGGACATTAAATAGCTTATTTAGCCCCGACAAGATAATTCCTAACAAACTACGAGATGAAAACATGCAATTTAAATGATCAGCTATGGGATAATCTCTCAAGTCTCTGCTGGATTATTTTTCCATTCTTTCCTAAAGTCATGATATTAGATATTGTTCATGTGCTATAGATACGTTTTAAGGCCATAGAGTTTCTCTTCTGTTCTCCACTTGACTGTTTTTTCTTCATTTTTAAAGTTCACACAGCACAAAATGCTGTTGTGGACAGGGACAAGCACAAGCCAGAAAATGAGTGAGAGAAAGTAAAATATATATAAAAAACAAAGACAGAAATACTCTAGAAGACGGTCAGAAAGCCAAAAGAACTATCGATCAAGTCCACTTTAAAAGATTACTTAAATAAATCAAAGTGTTTTACAAAATACAATAAAGAAATATCTATAAAAATATATTCAAGATATAAAACACAGAGAAATAATAATTAGAAAAGGGCTGTATGTAAATGCCTATACTCAAACAAATCTGCTAACATCACATTAGATTAACATATATTAATCAGTTACAAAGAAATGATCTCTGCTTAAAATACAGTTTTGGCATCTAAAACACAATCTGCAAGCAAAGGACACACTGGGATATTGAAGGAAAGCTGCATTTCTATTGATTCACGTACAGCAATACTTTATGAAAATTGATCAACAGTTTTAATACTAATGTCATCTTCAAAAAGGAGAGATTAAAAAAGAGCAGGAGGGCAGGAGGAGAACAGAGACTTTATTGCCTGCTGTAGTTAGATGGTAAAGTTCCTCCTGGCAGATATTTATTGGGTTAGTTGAGTCCAGAGAGAGCTCTAACATTGATTGTGATCATTAAATATATCCGCTTGAAATGGCAACATGGCATTCCTTCAGTCAATGGAGCCAATAGAAGCAGAACAAAGGCATAATCAAATCAATCCCCTCATAATTATTCTTTGAAAGGTGGAATTAATCACAAGAAGAAATAAAAACAATAATGGAAAATGAAATGGTCTGTCGTAAACAATTACGGCCCAAATTGAAATAAATCCAGCGAAGGGGAAAAAATCCACTGTAAATCCAACTAATTAAACGAACATGGGATATTTGGTTTACATTGACTTTCAGCTATTATACAGCTGAGGAGGTTGTGTTTTTACATGGGGGAGATAAAGAAAAAACACGAAAGAGAAAATGGAAAATTATGTTGTGAAGCTGGGGAGGGGAAGCATGGGGTCAAAGGATCAAGGTGCGCCTCCCATGAAAGCCATGACTCTCTGTTCGCTCTGCTCAACGAGAGGAAGTGTACCTTATTGATTAGCTATCAGATGATTCCGATAGGGCCTGATCGATAGGATGAAAGCCAGGCAGGACCCTCCCTCTTCACTCTGCGGCCACTGCACTGCAGACCGACGCAGAGACATCAAGCTGTCCGCTCTCCTTTGACAGATTCTTCTTTGTGTCTTGCCTCCCGGGTTAAAAGGGTTCCTCAAACAAAGTTCGTATGACGAAGCAGGAATTCGTCAAAACCATTCCAATCATGACAGTAAAAAAGGCAGCAGGACATACTTTATAGATGAATAACATAAGTGAGGATTGTCAAATTACCATGGCGGAAGAATGATGCCGTCAGCACCATGGACAGCTCCAGGGACTGCACTGGTTTCAATGATGAACGTTTCATCAGCTGTAAAACTGAACGCTGCTGTTTAATGTGCTTGAAATGATGCGATTCAGTGTGTAATATTTCCTGTAACTTTCTCTGAATGTCACAGAAACATGCTATGTTCAAACAAGATTATAATTTGAAGGACTCATTATGAAATCACCTCAGTAATAACTGTAAAAAAATTTTTGTCTCTTATTTCCCGAGTGTGAACATGTCAGATGCTGTCTGCTTTCTATGAAAACTCCACGTGTGTCCGGGGCTGTGAAAGGACAGTGATAAGACACCTGCACTCTGCGTACAGCTCAGATTAAAACCAGGATCAGTTTCTCCCTCTACCTGACTGAAGAAGGTCAAAATAAAGAGACAGAGACATTGCATCCATTATGGTGCAGCTTAGATATTATATTTACAGTACAGTAGCCGCTCGTTACTTCGTGGATTGTTTTTCGTGGACTCGCTCTATCGCGGTTTTTCAAAATAAGATCGGACATGACACACAACTGGCTGCTTGATGGATGTGCTGCACGATCCGCATGGAATTTTTATTTAGAATAAATCATTTAAAATTATTTAGTACCTGCTGCACCTGTGTGTAGCCCAGAGCTGCAGGAGAAGCTTCCTCCTGCAGGGTGTCATATCTCCGCTCTGCAGCGGAGAAGTGGGCGTGGCCGAGAGCGCTGGCAGATGGCAGAGTGCAGCCGGAGGCAGAGAGCTGAGTTCATGACTCATGACATTCTTTGCTCTTTTAGAGCATTTAGAGTTTAGAAACATTGTTTAGAATACTGCAAGAGTGTGAGAGGGGTTTAAAATGCCTTATATATATATATATATATATATATATATATGAAAATAAACTACTACTTTCTACTTGTACTACTATTCGTACTTCACAGTTTTTCACTTATCGCAGGGCTTCAGGGTACGGATCCCTCACGATAAACGAGGGGCTACTGTATATTGTTCTATTTTTTGTAAATATTGTATTAAAAACTGCTATTATTATTTTAGTTGTCACCTTCCTGAACAAATGGACAAAAGCATTTCACTTAAAAAGTAAAATCAGAGTTTTATTGGATTTTTTCAGTCTGACCATTTATTTTTCTTCTCTTTCTCTTATTTACAGATGTCTTGATACTGGAATGCTGTTTCTTGAACAACCTACGGCACCTGGACTGCCATAAAGCACAATGTCTCAAAAGTTCCCCACCTTCCCAGTGGCTTCAAGACAACCAGTTCACAGCAAACCCAAATTCAGTTTGACACTAAAAATCGTAATTAATAAAACAAAAAAAAGAGTCTGAAATCAACCATTCTGTTTAAAACAGCAGACACACAGAAATTAAACACCTTGTACTTGTAAATAAAACTTGATCCCGTCTCGATTTAAATTGCCAAAAATCATTCCACAAATCCCCACTTTTTAATTATGTCCTACAAGAGTACAGATTAATACAATATTTCAGTTTGATGATAGCAAAAAAAGAAAAAGAAAAATCTATGTTAACATACAAGATTAGCCCACCCTTACAAATCAGGACATTGTAAATACTGTACAGACAACAAATAGGGACATTGATAAGAAATAAAAATTATTGCAAATAATGTACATAGCCATAACAATCATACCTCTAGTCTGTTGATATACCCATGAGTGTCCTGTGCCCCATCATTTTTATTTTTTTCTTGCCCCCAGTTATTATTTTTCACAATGATTTAACTAAACAGAACCAGACAGAAGTATGCAGAATTTACAGAACTGATTAGGAAAGATAAAACATTCGTCACTGGAACAACACTACACTTTTAAACAGAGTGTATACTTACACATAAACCCTGTGTGGTCACAGAAACAGGTACTTTCAGTTTTGTAAACTGAAACGTTGCAAAAATGACTTAGCAGATCTAAATACAACAGAAACTTTAACTTGTTGAGTTGATTGTAAATGAAAACCCCTCCGGTATCATGTATGTAGTGTTTTAGCCCTGTGGTGATGTGACACATCCAGATGGACATTTGTGGTTCGGCAGCTTTTGTGTAGTGCAGTCAGTCCTTTAGTAAGTTCATACCTAAGTCAACTGCTTCCTCTTTGATTCCTGTTTGACTTGCCGCCCCCAAATCCCTCAGAGGGTCTGAACCCCAGCTGACCGCTCGGCGACCAGGCGCTCACTCAGCTCCCACAGGCTGGCAGCGCTGCTCGGATCCTCAGCCTGGACGGAAGGCTGGCAGCGGAAGCAGTTGTTGAAGTACATGCCGCCTAAACCCTCCAGCTCCGGAGCCACTGCACAGTACACCGTGGTGGCCGCACCTTGTTGCTGTGAACGGGGGAGGAGAAAAAAAAGACACAGACCAAAAGAACAAGGTCAGTCGGGACAAATCACGGCTCTGTGAGACGGCTTCATCCTGCAGGAGGAGACGAAACACGGAGAACTCATCTACTTGCACACGGACGTTAGGATGTGCCCTGTCCAGAGAGGACAAACAATGGACAGCACCTATTTGTCCTTTAGAGACACACACATACAGACACAAAAAGAGACAGCACGACCGAGAGACCACAGGAAAATAAAAAGATTTTTAAAAAAAAGACTCATGCACACGCTGTCTCACCCTTCTCCCTTGTAGCCCACTGGGTCATACTACCATGGGAGCAGCATACTGTATATACATATAAATATATAAATACATAAAATAATGTACATATATTTATTTATTTATTCCTCTACCTGGCATGTGTAAGATGTGGCTGTATGTGAACTGTTTTAATGCTCCAATTGCAAACACCCAAAGCAGTAAAGGCGAGAACAAAAGAGCCACACCAGTTCCAGTTTAGATGGGAATCACCTCAGAAACCCAGCTTTCATGTGTATTACTGGGAAGAAAAAAAAAAGAGTGTGTTTTGATGGCAATTAAGATGTATATTTTCTCAATATGTGAATATGAGTTCAGTCTGAAAATAGGTGTTGGAAACTATTGCAAGTACAATTCTGTATCTTACATGATGATAAATTATTTGGTTTAAAAAAACAACCGCAACATGTTTTCACATGTGTACACTCACACATCACAAGGCTTTTTCACTTTTTTACAAGTAATTTTTCTCTTGGGGGTTAAATATAAGGACCATTAAGTCTCCACCCTGAAACGGACTAAGCTTCATGTTGTCTTAAGCCAAGTCACAGAGCAAAAGAGTTTTCTGGATGCAACCTGCTAAGTTTTCTAATGCACCCTGCTCTATCAGTCAGTAATTAGTAGGGATATTCTTGGAGGGAGATTTCTGTGACATTTGAAAATGAAAGTTGAAACAGCGGCAGAATAAACATGTCACAGAGAATTACACACATAACCCGACTGCTCAAAGAGGGATCTTTCATGTTGCGGCTCCAGCTAAAAGCTGCTGTGACAGCTTCCCTGCAAACTCCGGCGCTGGAGACGACTTCTGTACGACCACATGAAATGCTTGCACACTTTATCTCCCGATGAGAGTTTAGCACGGAGCACTGGCACACACTGAGACGAGCCCATATGCGCAGTAGTCAAACATAGGCGGGACACACACATATACGCACATGCATAATGGAGGCACATTACATGCCAACTGTTTGAACAGCTTCCTAAAGCAGCTGTGAGACTCACGAAGTGGAGGGATCCATTATGGCCTAAAAGCATTTCAACGTTCACAGCCCAATAGAAAAATATGCACAAAATGCTTATGCAATAAACAACCAGGAAAAGAAAATAATAAAACACAAACAAAGCAGATTTGCAGAAATGTTTTCCTCAGTACATAAAGCAAGTTGCAGCCTGTAAGCTGTGAGTAAAGTTCCATCAGTGTGTGGCGTCGCAGCAGCAGATTGAGTGTGTTTGAAGTGCAGCGTGATGAGAGAGCTGGTAAACAGCAAATGAAACGGCACCATCTCTCTGTGCGTCGCCGTGTGTCTCACCTGCCGGCGAGGCGATAACTTCATCCACGTCATATGTCGCCATATCAAAGACAGACAAATGCCAAGCAGTGTCTCTGAGTTACAGGTTCACACGCGCTCCGTTTAACTCATCTCTCTCACTCAGGGCATCTGATGTAGTTTGTTTGAAAGTGAAATACCTTTTAAACTTGACAGAAGATTTGCTGTCTGGCTCCCCTTGAACATGGCCGACTTTCAGCGCAGTTAGTGCGCAATTACCAAACACCAGTTTTGCTTTAAGTAAAAAAATAAATACTGGCTTGAAGAAAAAGAAAAAAACTGGGTTTGGATTTATTTGTATTTATAAAGATCTTTCAATCTTTGAAAAGTAAATCCAGACTACACGAGTCCAGTTAGTGGAAGATAAAGTAGTACATAGACTGTTTAGACTATCTTATTGGTGTTTAGCTCATCCCCCTCACCACTTGATCTTGTGACCTCTGCAAAAGATAAGGCTGATGAGATTAGGCATTAACATGCTCAGCCACCCACCACGGCCATTTATCATTGTGTGTGTGTGTGTGTGTGTGTGTGTGTGTTTGAAGATAGGAGGCAAGGTGCATACGAGGTAGTGCGACACAGAATAAGAAAGACTGACCAAAAATCTCAGAGACCTACAGCTGCACATGAGAACGTTATAAACACAAAAGACATAAAATCGACATAAACACTTGGAAAATATGTAAGACAAAGAATGGCCATCTTCATTTTAATAGAAGAACTTGATGTCGTATATGTCTATAATTTCTAAATCTAAATGTGAATAGTTATCATGCAAACTGTAGTTTTTAAAGATTGATGCTCTTTTACTGCTTTCCAACCAGGGCTGTGAACTTGACTGAATCATGAGGCAAAATATATGGCTTGAAATTTGAATTGGATGCAAATGAGACCTGAAAACCAGACTGTGCACCAAAACTTACTACGTTATGCTAAAATATTGAAATATTCAGCAATAAAAATATAATTAAAAAAATACAAACAAGTGGAATACCTCAAGATCCGACTGCAAAGTCAAACTATTTTGGGGTAAATCTGCTTCTGCAGCAGAAACAAACAAACAAACAAAAAAAAAAAAACACTTAAGAAACAAATCTACTTGCAATAAATTGATTTTTGTTGAGCAGCATGAGTCCACATTAGCTATGAATTAAAAACTGCACTGGGACCAAATCAGAGTCTTCCAAACTCAATATTACCTCCAAGAACCTCTTGAACATGCAATAGAAATGTCTTTGTACAGCGTTGAGCAATAATTGGTAGTTGAGAAGTCCTACTGAGCGTATTCACAAGCAAAAAGCTATAAGGGGGAGATTTAATGTTGTTAAACTAACAGTATTGTTACTTTTTGCAGTATTTTGTTCTGTGTCTTTGTCATCCAAGTTGTACTCAGCTGTATGAGCTTCCTTTGATCCTATGCATGTGACCTTTGACCCCCACACATCTGTAGTTAAGGCATCAATTGCTCCATCTGACCTGGGTGTGTATAAACGATAACTTCAGAGCAGGCTGTTTGTGGCGTGTCCCTGTACATACAAACCTGTAAATACTTCCAGCTATGCATGCTGAAAATTTAGCAGTTCTTTCAGGTACTTTTATAACCCCGTTTCTCATATGGCATGTGCTGAAACATTAAAATAAAATAAAAAAATAATGAAAAAAGTAGAAAAATAGAAAAGATTGAAATAAAAGTTGTGAAAATAAATGAGTTGATAATATTGTCAGGCAATATCCTCTCTTGGACAGTGTGTGTAGAGTCTTCCTGTTTTCTTACTCCTGTGGGTCGTTCTCTTCCATTGCCTGTCCTGTGTTTCTGCTCACCATCTGTGTCGGTTCTTGTCAGTTGGCATTTGTGCAGCGGCGAGGGTTGAGGCAGAGGAGAGGCGAGAGCGTCCACCAGCTGACCTCTGTGATGGCACTCCAGTTTAGCAGCAGCAGTGCTGAAGCTGGCAAAGCTGTGCGCGCCTGGGACGCAAATATGAGAAGTTGGTTCCTGGCACAAACACAGATCATTGCAGCATACGTTCATGCTTGTCATGTGAACGCCCTTTGGCTACGCAGTAGTTCTTCAGAACTTTTTTAAATGAAAACAAGTTTGGATTTTAATTTTTTCTTTTTTTTTTAACTTTAGGTATTTAAAGGGGCAATTTCATTCCTGTTAAGTAATATTTAGATTAAAATGACATGTGAATCAAGTGATTTTGTTCTTCACCTGTGGAAGGTAACGTTGCAGAATTTTCAAGGTATTTAGTGAAAAAGTATGTGAAGGGTAAAGTATTTATGTGGCTTTTTAGGGATCAGAAGGAGTGCAGTTTCTGGCTCAGCCCTCTGCCCAGCCTCGTGGAGTAGCTATCCTCCGAGTGAGACTCCAAATTGATTGTGATTCTGTTTCAGGAATGTTTTTTTTTTTTTTCCCAACCTGTGATGTTTAAAATATATGGAGGTGTCTGATTTTTAATCTGTGCTAAAGATATTTTACATTTAATAAATAACCATTGAAAGCAAAGATTTTTGAAGTGTGCAGTTTATTTCAGAATAAGTGTCTGTGTGTAGATCCCTTTTTGCCTTCGGTCCAGCTGAACGTGCCGGGCCTCGCTGCAGAAAGAATTCTGGGCAATGTGGTCCTCTTCACATAAACAAGCTGTTCCTCCATTCTTGACCATTCAACCAAAATAAAAAGAAATTAGCTCCTTAGCAAACATCCTGACACACTATGAATTTATGATTGTGAACTTTACAGACAGTAGCTATGTTTACATAGACATAAATAATCGGATTAAACGGCCATTTGGAATAAAAATGTGTCATGTAAACACCCCATTCGGATTATTCTGAGCTGATTCAGCTCAATCCGAATGAATCTGTAATCCGAATGAGAGGGGTGGTTTATGCCGATTCACAATCCGAACGGTGTGCATGTAAACACTTAATCTGATCATTTTATTCTGATTGTGGAAATCTGACCTGACTGCGCATGTGCGACCTATATCTACCTCACGTATTTCTGCCTGGCTAATTCTAATATGTCGGGGAAGCTAAACTGGTCGGTGAGCGACACAACATTTCTACTAGACACTTTGAAAGAGCTCAAAATGATCTGTATTACCTGTAGCTCAGTCAGGGAGTGCAGTAACGTCTCCACCGTCATTAAAACCTGTCGCGGGTCCATTTTTGGGCGCTCAGGTTTGTTTACGTTCATCACAAAAGTAAAATGAAAATAGAACTTCTTCTGTGTTTTTTTTAAAGGACAATTTACTACCACTGTGCGCATGTCAGTACTTCTATTCAGTATTAAAGCCTGCTGCATGTAAACGCTCATCGTGAACGGATTGTGCCCATGTAAACAATACATT